GTGTCTACCGTGATGCCTTGACCGTTTGCGATCTGTCGCACTCTCTGAAGAAACTCATCGGCCATCATTACAATCGTAGACTTCTTATCGCTCGACAAGGCGGTCACGTCGCCTGGCTTCACAAGCATCTGATGACCATCCCTGGCGAACTTGCCCGTCGCGCATGTCATCGCCCGCGCGCCTGCGAGTTTGAATGTAACAGCGGCCCCCTCATGCTTGATCTGCACGCCTGCGAGAGACTTCGCCATGGAGACTGCGACCACTCACTGGGAGGTCAGCTGCCGCGAGAAGTCGCGGAGCTCGTTCAGGAAGATCGGGTTGGCGAGGCCGCCAGACAACTCCTTCACGCATTTTGCTAAGCCATCGATCTCCCCAGGAACGAGAGAGCCTGCGCGAGTCGCCTCACGGATGACGCTGTCCCAGTCGATGGTTCCGCTTGCATGGTGGCGGTTCGCAATGGCTGCGATCTTGTACATCAGACCCATGCGACCCTCGCACCTCGCAATCTGCTGACCAGCATTGCCAGCTTCTCGCGCGAGCTTGCTGATCCATGGAACTGCTTGACAAACTCATATCGAAACACCTTCCACTCGATGCCCTCGTCGCAAGCCTTTGCGCAACCACGTCAATGACAAGTTGCCTTGATGCGAGATTTTGTCAGATCGCCCTGGTAATGCCGAGGGCATTGTAACTTCTGCGTTGGAGCAACGCAAACCCATGCTAGTGTGTTCACAAGTATAGCCTGCGAACTTGGCATCGCAATCATAGCGCGGCAACTGGCCTGCAGAATCCTGCATGCTTTTGAAATTGAGCGTCTTGATCTTCTCATACTCAGGCGTACCAACTGGTTGAAGTTCCATGCAAGCTGGATTCTGGAGGGCCGAAGTTTTGAATCCATTCCTGAATATCTTCGGGATCAAATCCAACACCTCGTTCGGGATAGCACCATCCCCATACTGATTATCCACGCACACAAACGTATATTTCGAGCGTATCTTCTCCACCCTGAGGCAATCGATGCTCTTGGCGATCCCGCATACATCTTCAAATCATGAGACCACCGCTGCATATGGATGCAAATACGATTGCTTGATTGCCATCATCTTACCACTGACAGCCGCTAGCTGCTGTTCACGGGAGGCGTTCATCACGCCGTGTGCAGGAGGACGCCACCAGCGCCAGCAGCAATCCTAGCCCAAACGGCTTTAAGCCAAATTATATTGATATTCAAAAAAAAACGTGCAACAGAGGGTTGCACATTGGAAATGATATGTAGTATTTGCAACGCGCAACATTTTTTTGCAACGCTCGAGACAATATCCCCAACGCGTTCTCACTCAAGTTGAAATCATGATTTCCGATCTGTATCACAACAACAACCCAAACACATGCGTGCGTTTCTGGGGGCGACATCCAAGGAACACCCGATGCAGCAGCTCTGTTGTCAAGTAAGCATGCAACCATTAGCGAAGTTAGTAACTTTGCTACCTCGGGCTAGCTACCTCCAACTGCACCGACCGAGTTCGCCGAGTTAGTAACGTTACGAACGGTTATAACCTACTTGTAACATATTTACAACCCAGTTACAACCTACTTACAATTGCAGCTAACAGTTAGTAAGGCCGAGGGCCTTCAGGCCCATCCCCGCGCTTCGCTCCGCACTTTTGCCGCAGGGCCCCTTACCGCAGGTAAAAACCGTGCGTTTGAATGCGCGCGTGTGTGTGTGTGCGCGTGTGTGTGTGTGTGTGTGTGTGTGTTTGTGTGTGTGTGTGTGCGTGTGCGTGTGCGTGCGTGCGTGTGTGCGTGTGTGTGTATGTGTTTGTGTGTGTGTCTGTGTGCGTGTGCCTGTGTATATGTTCCGTGTTCCGTGGCTCTCGCGACCTTGTCCCGCAGTTAATTTCTCTGTCTCTGACAGCGGAGCTATCTCGACGGATGTCGCTCGAGACGCACTTCATAAGTTTGGCATAGCACGGCATTCAACCGCGCCCGACGCCGCAGCATAGGTCTAGTTTCGTAGGCCATTTGGCCGCAGAGCAAGACCGACCACCCACTGCAGGCAGTTCCCCTTCCCCTTTCCCCCTTTACTTCTACTGGATCGTCGGGCTATGGGAAGGTGACATCATTTTTGTTGCGTTTTCTATCTCTGTCGTTTTGTACGTGGAACTGTGCTGTGCTTATGGGGTCGGTGCGCTCGCAGAGTACTCGGGCCTCTCAAAGACACGTCGCGTATCTATCACTGCGTAGAGATATGACAAAGTTACTACATAACGTGCGCACGGTCATACTGGTGGCACTAGCGAATCGGAGTGTGAGCTCCGCGCGCGTAAATTTAGTTTCTCCTTTTTTGGCGACTCCAACCGCGAGGGCGGGGTCATTGCCGCAATTCCGCGTACGCTCGCCTTTCGGTTTCGCGAAGTTCGACACCCTGCGATTATTCTTGGTAGGATTCTCAAGAGCCCGCTGGTAGGCCCCGAGGTAGTTTGGCCATTTGTAACATCCAGTTCCCCAGCGCGCGTGGCCCAATGCCGCTGTTCAAAAGTGTTTTACAGAGGTTGCAACACGACTGATTTGTTTTTGAGGGGGGGGAATTCGTCGTGGGGATGGTGGATGGACAGCCTGGGGCCCCGCGGGCGCTAGAATGTTCCGCGCATTCCCCCCCAGCTTTACCGAGCTTTTCCAGGGCCAGGACACCCGCAGGAAAACAAATGGGTGAAACGTTGCGCAAAACATCCCGTATCGATCGTCAGTGTCTTTTCCCCTTGTTTTTCTCAGGAACATCGCCCCCCGTGCTGGTGTCCTGGGTTCCCTGAAAGCCTTGTGGGCCAGTGACCACATCCCCGTCGCTGCTTGTTTGGAGTTCTTCCCCCTTCGTCTGGGCGCCCCGTCATCTCTCTGTGGGTTGCGTCCTTGCTTGAATTCTGGACGGCCCTGGATGGGCTCCTGGCCGAAATTCCACCAAATTCCAAATCGCGACGGAGTTCGCCGCCGCCGCCAGCGCGCCGCAGCCCGCCCCCGCGCTGCCAGCACCCGCGGTGCCCCTGGCCTCGCTGCAGCGCTGTGGGGCCTGGACCGACGGGGCGCGCGAGCGCCCACAGGCCCGCTGCTGGCCCGCGCTGGTGGGAACTTGCGGCTGGAGCGCCCCGGCTTGCGTTTCGACGACCTCGCAGGCCCCGTCGACGGGGGGCAGACGGCGCAGCGGGCCGAGGTGACCGCGGCGCTGCACGCCGTCAGCGCGGCGGGCTGCCTGGTTGAGATCATCGCCGATGCGTCCAGCATGGCGCGCTGGCCCTCCGTGCCAGCGCTTCGCCACGGGAGTGGCAGCACGCGGACCTCTGGGCCTTGCCCGCGCCACGCGGCCAGTCGGGCTTCGCCATCGCGCGGTGGGTCAAGGCGCGCCCTGGCGAGGAGGCGGCGGCGTGGCGCGGCATGTCCGAGGATGCCCCGCTCGGGAACTGGGCTGCCGATCGCTTGGCGGGCGCCGCCGCGGATGCCCGACTGCCAGCGGCAGCCCCTCGCCGGGGGCGGGCTGTCCTGCTGGCCGCGCTCACGGCGCTCCAGACTATGTTGGCCGCGGTGGAGCTCGAGGCTTTGAAGGCCAACCATTGGAGCCGCGGCCCAGGCGGCCCCCGCGCGCGCAGGCGGTGGGCAGGCAGCGCCCGGGCCCAGAAGGCGGCAGGCCCGGGAGGCGGGCGACGAGGTCGCGGCCGCGGCCCCCCGCGGCCGCTGGCCACGCGCCGCGCCGAGCGGCTGGCGGCGCGCAGCGGCCAGGCGCAGCAGAAGCGGCGCGGGTGGTGTTCGCGGGCGTCGGCTGGCGAGCCCACGTGGCCTCCCAAGGCCCCGGCTGGGTGGCGTGCTTGCGCTGCGGGTGCTGGGCGCCGCGGTGGGAGCGCCTCGCGAGCCGGACCTGCGGTGGGCGCGCCCCGGCGAAGGCGGCCGGTTTGCCGCTGCTCCCGGTGGTGCGGGCCCCGCAGTGCGGGCTCTCGTGTTTTCTCCTTCCTCCGCCTCCTCCCCCTCCTCTCTCCCTGCCTCTGCCGCTGGGCTTCGCATGGATGCCCCAAAAATGTCGTTCCCTTTCGGAGCGATGTCGGGCTTTGAGGTCGAGGCGCTTGAGCGTTCCGCACGTTTCCACTTCAATTAGCTCTGGGGCAGCTACAATGTGCTCTGGCAGCTCGAACTTAAGATCCATATCAGTTCGGCCAGGACTCGTGGATTCTCGGATGCAAAGGAGGACTCGGTCCACAACGCTATAGGGCACAATCGCGACATGGCGCATCGCAGTTCAGCACGGCGCAGCACAGCGCAGCCTTTGGCCCAGTACATCAAGACCGACACACGCAATTGCAATTGCCGGTCGCCCAGTCAGGTTTCTTGAAAACGTTGCCATGCCTCACATTTCTATATGAATTGCTTGGTTTCGCGAGTCGACCATTGTCCGCGCAGTTTCATTAGCTCGCCCCTCGGTTTGGGCTGGTTGGAGCGGCGCGAATGGGTACACGATGTCGAGTTCAGCTTGGTTCTTGTGAGCCAGTTCGTCGCAAGCAGCGACTGCTCGGTCGACACTGCCACTGCTTTGGAGTGCTGCGGCGCAAGCTTCTTTTCGACTCCGGTTGTTGTCCTGCCACTTATGTAAGGTTGTCTTTGGGCGGCCCTTGCCTGTTGGTTTGGGCTGCGGTGGTGCTGACGGTGCTCATCGTGGACTTTTAAGAGCCATGGCGCGGTTGCGCGGATACTGGAAGGAGGTGGCACGAATTAGCCACACGCTGGGGTGGCGTGTGTCCAGTCTCGCGATGCGTTCGGCGGGGACCTGGGCGCTCCCAGAAGAGGAGGAAGGTGGGGTCGGAGGGGCCACGAGTGCACGGAAGAGGAGGGAGGAAGAGGGAAAGGGGGAGGAAAACGAGGGAACATATCGGGAGGGCATCGCCGTCATAGCCTTGCTAATCGCCCTCGTAGCTTGCCCTAGACAGGAGGAGGTCCCGCGGCCGTCCCCGCCGCCGCGGCAGGCCGGGGAGTGTTCCCCCGCGCCGGTCGTCAGCCCGCTCGGCGCGCGAGGCCCCGCGGCCCCACCTGGCCTCGGCCCCCCCCCCGCCCGCCCCCCAAAACTCCGGCGGACTGCTGCTGTTCAAGCTCGGCGCGTTCCTCTTGATCCTGGCCCGTGGGGGTCGTCTTTGGGGCCCCCAGACCACGAAACATCGATCGGGGACGAACAGCCGGCCCGAGGGAAGGTGTCGAGACCTCTGGGGCCCGCTGCCTGGACAGAACAGTCACGAGGGAACTCCGGGCCCCTCCGAGGAGGGAGGCAGGAGTTGGGAAGGGCTGTGCCCCTGCCCAGTATCAGAGTGGGCGCGGTCGCGCCACATCTCGCATTCGGATGATGTGGGTTCTCGCCGCCTGGTTCCCGGCCACCCGTCACGACTGGTTTGCCCCGCCCAGGAGGGAGCTTCCTCTCGGCATCAGCCCCGCCCCCCGCAGCATGCTTGGAAGGCACCAAGCAGACCAGGGAAGCCGTGGGAACCGCTTTGTCCCCTAGCGTGCCCCGCTGGCTGGCTTGTGAGTTGTCCCATGGGTTGTCCCGTGGGTTGTTCCCTTTGACTTCTGTTGTTGAGGTTTCGGTTTTTTCCCCGGACAGGGCGTGGGCCCAGGGTTCTGTCTTAGATGGTTTCCCCCATGCCTCGACTTGCGTAGGGCTGGCGAAGTTAATCTGCAATAAATAACGAGATCGCGTAGGGCCCGCGAATTAGAAAGTTGAGAATCTCCGTCGCGAAATGCTTGTTCCCAACCATCCTGTGGTGTTGGGTCCTCGTTTTGAAGAGACGGTGCCCCGCGTTCTCCCTCCTTCCTTCCTCCCGCTGCCTCCTCCCCCCTCCCATCATCATCATCATCAACACCCATTTCGGCACACCCCTCACACGCTTCGTGGCTCCATAGGGAGCTCCACCGAAGGCCCCAGTGCCCGCGGCCGCATGCGTCCCCCACACCCATTTCGGCACACCCCTCACACGTTTCGTGGCTCCATAGGGAGCTCCACCGAAGGCCCCAGTGCCCGCGGCCGCATGCGTCCCCCACACCCATTTCGGCACACCCCTCACACGTTTGGCGTGCCCGCTGCGTCCCCCACACCCATTTCGGCACACCCCTCACACGTTTCGTGGCTCCATAGGGAGCTCCACCGAAGGCCCCAGTGCCCGCGGCCGCATGCGTCCCCCACACCCATTTCGGCACACCCCTCACACGTTTCGTGGCTCCATAGGGAGCTCCACCGAAGGCCCCAGTGCCCGCGCCCGCATGCGTCACCCACACCCATTTCGGCACACCCCTCACACGTTTCGTGGCTCCATAGGGAGCTCCACCGAAGGCCCCAGTGCCCGCGGCCGCATGCGTCCCCCACACCCATTTCGGCACACCCCTCACACGTTTCGTGGCTCCATAGGGAGCTCCACCGAAGGCCCCAGTGCCCGCGGCCGCATGCGTCCCCCACACCCATTTCGGCACACCCCTCACACGTTTCGTGGCTCCATAGGGAGCTCCACCGAAGGCCCCAGTGCCCGCGGCCGCATGCGTCCCCCACACCCATTTCGGCACACCCCTCACACGTTTCGTGGCTCCATAGGGAGCTCCACCGAAGGCCCCAGTGCCCGCGGCCGCATGCGTCCCCCACACCCATTTCGGCACACCCCTCACACGTTTCGTGGCTCCATAGGGAGCTCCACCGAAGGCCCCAGTGCCCGCGGCCGCATGCGTCCCCCACACCCATTTCGGCACACCCCTCACACGTTTCGTGGCTCCATAGGGAGCTCCACCGAAGGCCCCAGTGCCCGCGGCCGCATGCGTCCCCCACACCCATTTCGGCACACCCCTCACACGTTTCGTGGCTCCATAGGGAGCTCCACCGAAGGCCCCAGTGCCCGCGGCCGCATGCGTCCCCCACACCCATTTCGGCACACCCCTCACACGTTTCGTGGCTCCATAGGGAGCTCCACCGAAGGCCCCAGTGCCCGCGGCCGCATGCGTCCCCCACACCCATTTCGGCACACCCCTCACACGTTTCGTGGCTCCATAGGGAGCTCCACCGAAGGCCCCAGTGCCCGCGGCCGCATGCGTCCCCCACACCCATTTCGGCACACCCCTCACACGTTTCGTGGCTCCATAGGGAGCTCCACCGAAGGCCCCAGTGCCCGCGGCCGCATGCGTCCCCCACACCCATTTCGGCACACCCCTCACACGTTTCGTGGCTCCATAGGGAGCTCCACCGAAGGCCCCAGTGCCCGCGGCCGCATGCGTCACCCACACCCATTTCGGCACACCCCTCACACGTTTCGTGGCTCCATAGGGAGCTCCACCGAAGGCCTCAGTGCCGCCGCCCGCATGCGTCACCCCCACCCATTTCGGCACACCCCCCGCATTTCTCGCACGGCAGGGTCATCACCACGGTGGCGTGCCAGGGGCGCACCATGCGCGAAGGCGACGGGGCGGGGGAACGGCGCTCCGGGGGCGGCCAGACCTCCGGGGCGCGAGCAGTCCGCGGCCAGACCATCTCTCGGTCCTGTGGACTCTCGCCCTGGGCCGTCGGCTGCCCGGCGCGCTGCTCCCTCGGTCGACGTCGCCCAGGCGTGATCCTGGATTGCGGCCGCCACGAGGTAGGGAACGGCAAGAAGGAGGACGACGACTGGTGGCTGGAGCTCTACGTGCTGCTCTCGCGCGCCACGCGCCACGAGGACCTCCTGCTCATGCGGGCGCCGCGCATCGAGTTCTTCCTGGCAGGGCCGCCGCAGGGCTTGCGGAAGCAGCTGGAGCAGTTTGCGGCGCGCACGAAGCGGCGCAGGAGGGAAGCGACGGCCCTCGCCAGGGAGCTCGGCTTCACCGAGTTCATCCGCGAGGCCTGACCTGAGGAGCGTCTCCCCCGAGCCGCGCCTTCTCTCGACTGCCCGACTAATTGTTTGGCCTCGCGCCGCGGACGACCCGCGCGCGTCGCTGGGACCCTCTCGGGGCGACCAGCGCGCGTCGCGGGAACTCCGTGCTGCGGGGGGCCCGGCGCCTCGTTCGCCCGTCGTCGCTCTGCCCAGCGGTCAGAGACTTGCCCGCTATCAGCCAGCCAGTTAGCTAGTCAGCTCTCTCTGCTTCGCGCAGCGGACGACCCGCGCGCGTCGCTGGGACCCCGCCCGGGGCGACCAGCGCGCGTCGCGGGGACTCCGCGCTGCGCTGCGCCCGCAGCCTTGGATTTTGGAGTGCGCGGGCAAAGAGGAAGGAAAAGAAGAGCCGAAAGCGGGCGCGATCCTCGCAAGAGGCGTGCCGACATGGGCGTCGCGACGTGCGGACGCTGCCGTCGGGGTTCCCGCGGAAGCTGCCTGCGGCGGCCACGCCCAGTGTCACGTGTGTTCGGACAGGCATGCTCGACACTTACACTAGGCGGTTCCATGATCGCATTCATGCAAATATATTCACTCGCGCGCAGACCCATTCATACTCAGATTCCTTCGCGCTCTGACTCACCCGCGTTCTTTCTCTCGTAATCAGATCTATCGTATTCCTTTGCGTTGTGTACCCCGCCACATTTCGGCACACCCCTCATGCGGTTCGTGGCCCCATAGGGAGCGCCACCGAAGAATATACTCACAATTGCGATACTCACAACTGCATATGGTTGGGTCCTTCGCCAGGATAATTTTTGCAATCCCGATCGATAAACCACAGGGTGCGGGGCGCAGTTTGGTCGAAGGAATGCTCTCAGCCTATGTTTTGACATCTGCTCCTATAGATTGACCCTCTCCAGGGGCGCGAACCCATTTGTTCCCAACCATTCTGTGGTGTTGGGTCCTCGTTTTGAAGAGACGTTGCCCCGCGTTCCTCCTCCTCCTTCCTCCTCCTCCCCTTCCTCCCCCCTCCTCCCCCTCCCACACCCATTCTGGCACACCCCTCACACGTTTCGTGGCCCCATAGGGAGCTCCACCGAAGGCCCCAGTGGCTGCGCCCGCATGCGGTTCCACCCCCCATTCTGGCACACCCCTCACACGTTTCGTGGCCCCATAGGGAGCTCCACCGAAGGCCCCAGTGGCTGCGCCCGCATGCGGTTCCACCCCCCATTCTGGCACACCCCTCACACGTTTCGTGGCCCCATAGGGAGCTCCACCGAAGGCCCCAGTGGCTGCGCCCGCATGCGGTTCCACCCCCCATTCTGGCACACCCCTCACACGTTTCGTGGCCCCATAGGGAGCTCCACCGAAGGCCCCAGTGGCTGCGCCCGCATGCGGTTCCACCCCCCATTCTGGCACACCCCTCACACGTTTCGTGGCCCCATAGGGAGCTCCACCGAAGGCCCCAGTGGCTGCGCCCGCATGCGGTTCCACCCCCCATTCTGGCACACCCCTCACACGTTTCGTGGCCCCATAGGGAGCTCCACCGAAGGCCCCAGTGGCTGCGCCCGCATGCGGTTCCACCCCCCCATTCTGGCACACCCCTCACACGTTTCGTGGCCCCATAGGGAGCTCCACCGAAGGCCCCAGTGGCTGCGCCCGCATGCGGTTCCACCCCCCATTCTGGCACACCCCTCACACGTTTCGTGGCCCCATAGGGAGCTCCACCGAAGGCCCCAGTGGCTGCGCCCGCATGCGGTTCCACCCCCCATTCTGGCACACCCCTCACACGTTTCGTGGCCCCATAGGGAGCTCCACCGAAGGCCCCAGTGGCTGCGCCCGCATGCGGTTCCACCCCCATTCTGGCACACCCCTCACACGTTTCGTGGCCCCATAGGGAGCTCCACCGAAGGCCCCAGTGGCTGCGCCCGCATGCGGTTCCACCCCCCATTCTGGCACACCCCTCACACGTTTCGTGGCCCCATAGGGAGCTCCACCGAAGGCCCCAGTGGCTGCGCCCGCATGCGGTTCCACCCCCCATTCTGGCACACCCCTCACACGTTTCGTGGCCCCATAGGGAGCTCCACCGAAGGCCCCAGTGGCTGCGCTCGCATGCGGTTCCACCCCCTTTTTCGGCACGCCCTTCACACGTCTCGTGGCCCCATAGGGAGCTCCACCGAACGCCGCAGTGGCTGCGCTCGC